TTTAATTGGTAATTTTCACTGAACTGGCTTAACCATTCACAGATTCCTCAGTGAATCATTGTGAATCAACTCGTTGGTCAAAAAGTGTGGGAACCCTGAACAGTGTGAGATTTTATATGCAAAATATCACAACTACTACAGCAACAAAGCACAAAAGAAAGATTAATATGCACTTTGATTAAAACAGAGCACAGAACTGTACTAAAGCATGATTGTATTTCAAATAACTGAATATCTTAGCAGGACACCAGCTCAGAGGAAACCATGCTGATTAGTGCACAGGCAATGTACATTAACATTCAATTTTAATTCTCTAAATGCGAATTAACACTCAGACAGACAAGGGGTGGCATAATTTTCCCTTTAAAAAAAAATTATGGTGTCGCAAGATGAACGCAGCCACGTTGAAACAAAATAATCATTTTACTAAGGCTTTCAAGCTAAAGAACACAGGCATTCACCCTCTGCCGTTTACATTTTTCAAAAGAATATGCCTTTCAAAGCAGCCGCTCTTCAGAATGCAGTCATGTAAAAATCATCATTCACTAAGTAAACACAAACAAAAGAGCCACAAGATCAACAAACATGAAAAGATGAGGCAGGAAAAGGTAATGCAGGTCGTTTTTTCTTGCCTTTGATCAGCCACAAAATGCATTTCCCTAATGTCCCCGCCGATGGTTTTCTCTTTGTGTGTGCGCAGGTTTGCTGACATTCACAGGAGCAACGCCAAACAGGAATCATCCATCAGCCCCCACACATTTGTGTCCATCCTCTCATTTCAGAGCTAAAGATATCAGCTGCCCCTCTCCACGTCACCCTCAAACAGGAAATGGAATCCGTGCGCCATGGTTGCAGTCAGTCAAGCGTCTCTACAGTTACATGCAGGTCATCGAGTCCCAGCAGACGCCATCGTCTCACAGCTGGGGACACAAAACATTTTCAAACCTTGACATAAAAAACTGTTTAAGTTTTGATCTCAAAATACATTAGCTAGGAGAACATTTCACTCGCTTTCCAGTTAAACCGCCAGAGACTGTTCGCGTACCTTTCAGACTAAGATTACATAAGTTCCTAGCGAAGAGCGGTGAGGCTGTTGCGTAAGACCGATGTTGAAGGACCCCAACTGCATCTTCAGAGCAAGGACATGTCGTCGATGAAAGGCCAAGGATGCGCAGAGACCCTTAAATATTTCAGACTAAGATTACATAAGTTCCTAGCGAAGAGCGGCGAGGCTGTTGCGTAAGACCGATGTTGAAGGACCCCAACTGCATCTTCAGAGCAAGGACATGTCGTCGATGAAAGGCCAAGGATGCGCAGAGACCCTTAAATATACAGCAGAGCTCAGTCGCTCTGTAAAAGGACTTGTTTTGCGGAGGAATTAAGAAGCAGCAGATGACTGATGCATCCTGTAGATTTGACCTCACGCGGTTTGACCATATGGACTGTGTGCTGTTGAGTTCTGTTTGAGAATGGCAATGCACTGATGCCGTCAACTCTAATCATGGCTAATTTAAAGATTAGCAAACAATGTGTGGATGTCATCTGTCCCTACCTCTCCGGGGCATCTCTTTTACTCTCTGCTTTAAATGTCTGTCTCTAATGGATATATCATTTCTATCGATACTTTATTTTGACTGTAAGTTGACACATGCGATGGAGTGTTGACCTAGATAGGAAATAAAGGGTGTGTCCATGTAAATGTACATAACGCTTTGGGGACTCTCTCTATTGGGGGCCATACTGATTTGCTGCTTAAAGTCAATGTGAAATCATAAGGCTTATTTAGTTTCATAATAAATGGTCCAGGGTTATTTGTAAATGATTCATTGTTGCAATCACACTATTGTTCTAAATTTGTGATCAGTAATATTTTTTAACACTGTTGACAGAAGTCTTTCATGCTCACCAAAGGCTGCATTTATTTGATCAAAAATACAGAAAAATTGAAATATTATTGCAATTTAAAATGACTTTTCTATTTGAATATATTTTAAAATGTAATTTATTCCTGTGATGGTAAAGCTGAATTTTCACCATCAATATTCCAGTCTTCAGTGTCACATGATCCTTAAGTTATCATTCTAATACGATGATTTGCTGCTCAAGATTTTATCTTTTTTTAATCAATGTGGAAAAAAGTTGTGCTGTCTAATATTTTGTGGAAAGATCTTTTTTTCAGGATTTTTGGACTTTAAGTAAAAAGTTCAAAATAAATTAGGATTTATTTGAAGAAGATAACAATATAAAAGTCACTTTACTGTCACTTTTGATCAATTTAGTGATGATTAAAAGTAAAAGATTAAAAAAACACTTAACTGACGGTAGTGTAAATCTAAAAATCTTTGTTTTTATATTCCTTTATTAAAAACACTTTTGTTTCAAGGCAGAACAAGTGAAGAAAATTAATATTAACCAATAAAATCACATTTTTGCATGATCCAATCAGATCCCAATAAGATGAATAGTCCTATCATTTTTTTTTTTCTCACCAAATATTCTGTTTAACTCAGAAATGCATAAAAATTAAAGGTGGGGTAAGCGATTTCTGGTAGCCAATGTTGACCGTGTCTACACCGGATGCCAGTGGCGCGGCGTGACAAAAAAAACTATAGAACTCATTATAATCAGTGATGCTGTCTACACCATAGATATATATATATATATATATGTTCTGTTGTTGGATGTAATAATGAACATAGCAGTCGTCATTTACTCCTGACATCTGAGCCGCTGAAGACGCAGTGGATTACATTTGTTTCTGAAGGGAATGCTCCCCCGATCTACCTAAATGCGTCTATGTTTGTTTGCAAAACATTCATGATCCAGCCTCATCTACAGAAGAAGTGAGTATAATGTTTTGTAAAGAATCTTTGCAAATCGCCTTTCCTAATAATGTGCTAATTAGCAAGTTTCACGATGAATGCGGCTAAAGTAAACAGTCTCTCTGAGAGCAGCTCGGAAGAGAGGGGCGGGGTCAGCAGAGCTCATTAACATTTAAAGGAAAATGCTACAAAAACGGCTTGATCTGAAAAGAGCTGTTTTTGACAGGGTAAAAAAGGTGTTTTTTACACTACCATTGAGAAATTTTAACCGAACTATGTTACAGACTTTTCATTAAGACCCTAAAGAATCATATCAACTTGTGGAAAATGGGCATCCTATGACCCCTTTAAGCCTTCTTTTGTTCCGCAGATGTTTTCCTCTTGTTTTTTATCTCTATCTTTCTGTCGCTCGGCTGGCTAATGTCCGTCCTGTGCACTGAACGCTCTCTCCTCCACATCATGAGTAGACACGCCCCTTACTGCTGATTGGCTACAAGGTTGTTTTGCTACTCGGCCCGAATCAGTTTTCTAAAGCGTTTTTGAAAAATCGCTTACCCCACCTTTAAGTTAAATACTTTGCATATGCTGATTCATATTGTCAAAAAGTCTAAATTAATCTACTTAGTAAACATTGCTGGTCTTATTGTGCACAATTCATTGGTGCATGTTAATCCACTTCTGAAATATCTTTTCTTTGGTTGATGTCACTTAAATCTCCAAACAATGATGGTGGTGTTTCAGGTGTTGAGTAACCCCCCTCAGTAGACTGCAAAATCTGTGTCAGCCCGCGTTTCACCATCCAGTTAAATTCCAATGGATAAAATCTACATTCTTTTCTTGTGAATGTTCAGTTTTATTTGGAAATACATCACAATACATCATGGAAATACATGTTAGAACTTAAATAGTGCAAAAACATCTGTTTCATGTTGACCAAGTATGTGAAAGACATTTTTTGTGTTTTGCTCTTTGTTTCCTCGTATACTGAGGCAGTCTGCTTTTCACAAAAACACTGATCTATTGTCAAATTGGTTCTCCTCATGGCCAGTGGAGAAGATGAATCCATATGATGGATGTAACTGGTTCCATATAGCAGCAAAAATAACCAGAGTCCCGTAAGATGAAAGAGCGAAAGAATATGGTCACTTTCAATGAACAGTAGCATTTCATCTGTCTCATGGGCTAGGCCCATCTTCCTGAGTTGTGAATTTTAATGGTGTTTTTATGGTTCCTAATAAAGTCTGTTATGCTTCTGGCAAATATGCAGAGCACGACATCACTCGCTTCCAATTACTGAGAAACTCAAGGAGATTCAGTATTCATTCGTTATGGCGTATAGTTATTTAGGAATAACAGGACTATCTCTCTCTCTTTCTTTCTCTCATGGCTTTACTCTCTAGCAGTGTATGTGGAGTGAAGAGACAGTAATTTCCCCTCCTCACTCAAAGTGTCCCATCCATATGTTGCCTTAAGTCATGAGAATGTGACAAGTGATGGCTTCCTTCATGGTTACCATTGACGGACAGATCATACGTGTGTACTGGAGCTTGATACAGCAGGCCGACGGCAGAGATATTGCCGTAATAACGCAACCTATATATTACATTATTTATTATATTTTGCTGTCTGCTTCCTTTAGACGTCATAGCACAGGATAGTCACTGATGAAGTCTGTTTCCAGTTCAGAGTAAAAAATACCTACCTCACAACACAAAGAAAAATGAAATATATTTCAAGCTCATTTTTTATAATTGCGACTATATCTCACAATTTTGGTCTTGTTTTGACCTTCTAATAATTCAGATTTTATACCTCATAATTATTTTGTGCCATAATTGAGAATGTTTCACATTTTTGTTTTTCATAATTCCAATTTTATATCCATTGATTGTTATTTTATTTCTCGTAATATTAAGAATACTTTTGTTTCTCATGACTTTATTTCCTTCTTTATTTTTTACATGGAGACGAAAACAGACGTCAATACATATAGGCTCTCCGTAATTTTCACTAAATATTTATTTTTTATTTATTTTTTGTTCTTTGTTCTTACAATTATCTTTCACAATCATAGTTTCTTTCTGAATCCTAATAGTCTACTAACACTGTGTTTGATGCGTGGTGGGATCGGAGCGATCCTGGAGTGAGAGAGAACACCGTCAGTCCCACTTTCAATAAAACGTTGCTCTCCCCAGGCAAAAATCACACAACTCTGCTGCTTCTCCACACTCCTATCTATGAGTTTATCTCTAAAGTGCTGTTGTTTACTGCTCTGACAGCATTATTCTTTTACATTTCAGATGACATCCCAGTGAAATCCTGCAAGATCTCAAAGCTTCTGCCTCCACTGTACCTGTGATTTATTATTTATCAATAGGAACAACCGCATCAATGGCCGGAAAGGCCGCAATCTTTATTTTACTTGGACATCGGCATCTATTCCTATGATTCCTAGGTGACATTTATGTACATATTTGCTCATTGTGAGCGGTGCTTGTGGTTATGGGATCAATAAGGCCATAACATCAAATCACGAGTGCAGAACGGTCCTGAGAGGTTGCGTTATTACGGCAATATCTCTGCCGTCGGCCTGCTGTATCAAGCTCCAGTACACACGTATGATCTATCCGTCAATGGTAACCATGAAGGAAGCCATCACTTGTCACATTCTCATGACTTAAGGCAACATATGGATGGGGTGCATGTAATTCTCATGTATTTTCTTCCAGAACTTGATCATGTTCTCCGGGATGCTGATGTTGAAAGAGTTGAGGACGCGCTGCTTCACTCTTCCAAGGCCTTTCTGGTAGTTATCCACCCCGAGGCATCTGTCATTAAGTCTATATAATACAAGCGTAATTGGGGTTTATGCCTGGATTAAGAGATCGTTACACTTAATTACGACGAATCATGGTGCTCTAAGATGTCTGGGCCAGAAGATATAAAACAGCTATAGTGTGAGAATGAATGAAGCATGCATAATTACCATGTTTTGTTGTCTTTAAGATCCTGATATTAAAATTACATTCACAGGATTTTGTAGTCCATGCAAACATTTTTTAAGCACACAAAAATTACATTTTAATAGCAGTGCATTAAAGGAATGGTTCACCCAAAAATGAAAATTTCCTGTTCATTTACTCTCCCTCAGGACATCCAAGATGTAGATTACTTTCTTTCTTCAATAGAACATTAAAAATTATTTTTAGCTGAATCCATGGTCCTTG